CCCCAAAACCCCAAAACCCCACGTAGTAATCATATGAAACATTTGAGTATTGAATTAAGCTGATTTAATACTCTATGATAAAATAAATTAATTATAATCTATATACAATAATAGTCACAATGTTCCCTCTGCCTTACTTGCAATCATTGCATCGGAACAATGAGTTGTTTAAAGTAAGAGGGATGAGATGTTACAACATTTATTTCATGTTTTTTGTTTACAATCTAATTAAGATTGTAATTTTTCTCCTCTTTTTAGTTTATTATTTGATCATTTTTGGATGAATCATTATTATTGTTAATGAAGTTATATTGAAATTGGAGATCTAATTTTTTCCTTATAACTGATAGATCATCATTCAGCTTCAAATTTTACACCGTATCTTTAATATGATTATTTACTAGTAAAACGAACTCTTCTTTTTAAGCATTTCGTGGTCTTATAGAGTTTTAACTAGATAACTCCTCTTTTGATCTTGATGATGATTTATGCGTAGATGATGATGATTCTAATGTCCCTATCAAAGTTGATCTATCTGTTTAAATTTCCTCTTAGTTAAACTCTAATGGATCATTTTATTGAGGTAGATTCTTTTCGGAGCTTATATTTGTATTTTTCAAATCTGATTGAGAACTTACAACACTAGCTGTTGAAGAACTTTTTTCTTATAGATCCTCCTTTATTGTTTCTAGAGAATGAATAGATTCTTTATTGTAGGTAGCCCCAGAAATTGCAGATTTCCTTGAGGTTTCAGAACTAGCAAATGTGCTTGCTTTAGTTATAAATGATTCCATAGAGTGAATGGATTCTGATCTATTTTTGTCGAAATCAGAACTGAAAAATGAATCTTTTAAGTCTTATACTTGAGATTTGAAATTGAGAATGCTTTACTCAATTTGTTATTGAATTCTTAGATTTTGAAGAGTTACCTCATCAATTAACTTAATTAAGTATACTTCTTGCTCTTCTTTTTATTTTACCAACTCTTAAGTTTGGAATGCTGAATTTTAAAGTTATTTAATATCCTATGAGAGTTTTAGCATTTGCTAGTGTTCTTTTATATATTTCGATTTGTAACTATCTTTCTTTATCTTTTTCTATTTTAGTACTTATTCCATGCTGAGGATCTTTTTCTATTGGTTAATATTGTCTGCAGCTATTTGTTTTCTGCTTTTTTCCAATTTGGCAATCTTCTTTTCGAAATCAACTGCCTCTTTTAGTTTGAGTTGATGAATGAGCTTTAATTGCTCTATTAAATCATTCTTAGATAATACTTTGAGTTCATCAATAGCTGTAATTATCTTTTGAGTTTGACTTTATTGATCCATCGCCATGAAAAAGTTTAGTTATTATAATATTTAATTAAAAAATTTTGATTTCAAATTAGCCAAAATGCTCAAAATGTCAAATAATGGGGTTTTGGGGTTTTGGGGTTTTGGGG